GCCTCCAGCCCAGCTCTGCCCTCAGCTGGCCATGAGTCTGTCTGTAAAATTACGGGTATGAGACACATGACCAAGACGGTTCGTTTCAAAGTCTAATATGATGTTCCTCCAACATGCTTAGGATTTTCCTCCTCTGTATCGCCATATTTCTGAGCAACCTGGAACATACAGAAAGTGAAAGACATACGACTGCACCTCAGGCAACGCCACGCCAGCACTTAGCTGTACGGAGGCTGGAAGGCCCAGGCCGTGGCCGCTTATCTTTAATCCAACACTTCTGCTGCGGCAGGCCCTGCTTTCATGTTTATGAACTTTGGTCTTGGGAAGAATGTAAAGCACTAGGGATTGTGTGAAAAAGACTGAGCTAGAAAGGAGATGAAAAAGAAAGCTAGTTCTGGGCCAGTGCAGCTACACATGAAGAGTCCTGGCCAAGAGTCAGAAAGACTGACTGGAAAGGAAAGACACATTCAGTAGGATTCCCCAAGTTCCGGATTTTGCTGATTGAATCCCCATGGTATTTGTAACACATCCCTCTGGCCCCCACCTTTTTTGTAAGACGGATCTAAAGGCTTTGTTGGGCTCAGGTCCGCCACTGTTGCAGGACCGCTGCAGAGGGAGCGGTGTGCGCAGTACTTCCCGACGTTCACGCTGTAACAAAACCTCACCCCCACCTCCCATGACCTGCGATGCTTAAGCTCTTGTAGCTTCTGTGACCATTGTGAAAATCTCCCGATTGAAAAACAAGCAAACATGACAGTGCTGAGGTTCTAACTGGGAATTCAGTGGACAGATTTCAGGAAGGCAGCAAAATCTCTGAAACCATATGCACAGGTTTCCCTGCACATTTAGCCATTCACTCTTCTGAGGGGAGGTTGCATTTTCGAAGGAGAATATAAACAGAAAAAGTTAGGATCCAGCTGTGAAACTTCAAAGGTTTCCTTTCTTTGTTGGCCTATTTTAAATCAGACTAACTTTACTTCTTCTGTCTGACTTATTTCACTTAGCATCATGTTCTCCAGGTCCCTCCATGAGGACACAGAGATGACCAATAGACATGAAAAGATGCTCAATGTCACTAATCATCAGAGAAATGCAAGTTAAAACCACAATGAAATATCTCACACCTGTCAGAATGGCTGCCATCAATAAATCAACACACAAGTGTTGGCAAGGGTGTGGAGAAAAGGGGACCCTCGTGCACTGTTGGTGGGGATGCAGATTGGTGCAGCCACTATGGAAAGCAGTATGAAGTTACTTAAAAAATTAAAAATGGAACTGCCTTATGATCCAGCAATTCCACTTCTGGGAATTTATCCGGAGAAGCTCAAAACACTAATTCAAAAGAATATATGCACCCCTATGTTCATTGCAGCATTAGTTACAATAGCCAAGATTTAGAAGCAGCCCAAGTGCCCATCAGTAGATGACTGGATTAAACAGCTATGGTACATTCACACAATGGAATATTACTCAGCTGTAAAAAGGAAGAAAATTTTACCCTTTGAGACAGTATGGATGAACCTTCTGTCATCTTAAAAGTCTTTCTGTCTATGTGTGTTTTTCATTCTTTTTCCCTGTATGTCAGTCAATAATACAAATACTATTTGGAAGCAACTTTAAGTTGACTTGCCTTCCCTTCCCAGTCTGAAATACTATACTGAATACGTCTTAATCTGAACCATCTATCTATTGGCCCCTTTTTCCTGAAAAGACCAAAATATGAGAACATTTTATTGTTACTTGGGTACTGTTTGACAGACTTCGGCACTTATAAAATGTCTGATCTGGCGTCACTGCAGAAACTGTGTTTTATTTCTATAAATGTCTAATCTGTTTATGTAACCCTCCAAGTCATAGGACAATGACATAGCAATTTTGTCTGAAGATCTACTTACTCATCTGTTCTGAAATGTCATTGCACAGTAACAATGTATTTGGGGATTGTTTTGGCCACTCTTCTCTCACTATAAAGAGGAGGGAGCCTAGGGAACACATCAGCGCTGGAACAATGGTCTTTAAAAGGCACAAACACACTGTGCTTCCAGTTGAAGGCAGCTACCTGTGACAGGGCTCCCTGCTGACCCTGATATCCCACGTGCAACGCCATCCATTCGATCACCAACCAACCTCTCCCGCAAAATATCTACTCCCTTCTAACGATAACATCTCAGTTTGCCCGAAGGATGAACCAAACGCGAAGAAGAATGCAGCCTGGCCCTTGCGCACCCTGCGATGGATGTTCACACTTGTGAGGCCGGGCCAGGGTGGACACAACCCCTCCTACCCTGCGTCGAGAACCATCATGTCCACCATCATGGCCGCCACATCTACATAAGTCTCTTTCTCCCATTTGCTCTTTTTATGTCGCCCTTGTTTCCTTCTGTCCGTAGATGTATGTGACTGTGGAACACTTTAAAAGGGCACTCCCCTGCCCTGGCCAGTTTGGCTCAGCGGTTAGAGCATCGGCCTATGGATCAAGGAGTCATGGGTTTGATTCCAGTCAAGGGCATGCACCTTGGTTGCAGTCCGTCTGGACCCTGGTCTGAGTCGTGCGAGAGGCAGCCAGTCAATGTGTCTCTCTCACATTGATGCTCCTCTCCCTCTCTCTCTCTTTCTCTCTCTCTCTCTCCTTCTCTTCCACTCTATCTGAAGATAAATGGAGGATTTTTTAAAAAATAAAAAGGCACTCCCTCCAAGGATCCCCACGGCTTCCTTTAGTCGTATCCACATGTTTCCATCTTGCACAGTGAAATGAGGAGAGTCCAGCGGACTTGGGCACGGTTTCGTTGCCAGGGCGGATGAGCCGAGCTGGGTGTGCTGTGGTCACATCATTTGCAATTAGGAATGATTTTGCCTTTGTGGCTGGCTAGTTCACCCCGGGAGAGGCTTTTTCTACTCTCTGGTTTTACAGCACACATTCCTAAACAGGGCAGGGTGGTGGTGTCGGAGAACCTGAGTTAAAATCATGACTCTAAACAGTTCGTTATTGAGTTAACACACATTGATGAAATGCCTGCAAGAAGCCAGACTTTGGCTAGAAAGGCAGGAGACAGTCCCTGCTTCGGAGAAGCCCCAGCCCATAGGAGCGTCACAAATGCAGTGCAGTTCAGTGAGGAGCACCTGAGGCCTTTCTCGCTGGCACATGTCACCAGTTTGGCTCAAATAAACTCATAAAAGAAATTTTTAACGTGGGAAGTGAAAGGGCCGGGACGGACGCCCAGCTTCCTGGCGATACCAGGCTGTCTGCCCCTCTGGAGGGTCTTGGAATCCAGAAGAGGCGGCTTCCTCACCGAAGGAGCCCCAACTCACGCAGAATTCAGGAAGTGACTGGTGAAGGAAGTCACACCTGAATCACACCTTGAAGGCAGGGGAGCAGGCTTGGGGAGCACACGCAGGGACTTCCTGAGCAGTGGATCCAGCACAGACTAAGGCCTTGAGACCTACAGATTCGCAGACTGAATTGTACACGCAGATGAGCTCTGAATCATTCACCTTCGTGAGCCCCTGATTCTTGATCCGTCAAATGGGCCCAATAACCCTTCCTGGCTACATCAAGAGTTGTGCGAATTAAATAAAGAATATCAGCCCTGCCAGCATGGCTCAGTAGTTGAGTGTCGACCCATGCACCAAGAGGTTGCCCGTTCGATTCCCAGTCAGAGCAGATGCCCAGGTTGTGGGCCTGATCCCCAGTGGGGGGCATGCAGGAGGTGGCCAAACGCTGTTCTCTCTCATCGATGTCTCTATCTCTCTCCCCCTCTCCCTTCCTCTCTCTCTAAAATCAATAAAGAAAAAATAAAAAGAATATCGAAGGGCTATGTAAACTGAGAAGTCCCATTATCACCCTTACGAAAGAGAATGCTGGACAGGACTCTGCCAAGATTCAGCTCAGTGGTCACCGTGCCATGTGACAAAGAATCTGCCCCGGCTTTGCCAGTAACCCACTGTCTGTCCTCTCCCACACCCCACCTCAAAGGCCTCAGTTTTCCTCATCTGTAAAATGAGTGGCTCGAACCAAGGAGTGGGGTCCCTTCTACTACTGCCATTTTATTTCTAAGTCCTCTTTAAATCTAGTTGCCAGTGACCAGCATGTGGCTACCCGCCCCCAGACGATGTCTTTACTCATTCCTAACCTTTACCTCGGCAGACAGAGCATAAGATTCATCAGACATGTTAGACAACCCGTGGCACAGGTCCTGCCTCCCTCTGTCCCCTCTGCGGTCACAGTCGCACAGCACCCCGCCTTTCCGGGGCTCAGCCAGACACGCGGCCCACTGGGGACAGGACGGTACTCCTCCCGGAAGCCGAAGGAAGTCCTGATCGCGGGTCAGGGTTGTTTGGTTTTGAGGTGTGCTGGGGATGAAAGGCACCTTGAAAGTGGAAAGCTCCCTCATTAATTAATTAATTATAATTGAGGGTTTGTTCTTCAGAATGATCCCTTTGAAATTACTTTCCATCCAACAGTCCCTGCCTCGACGGCAGCGGCTCCCGAGAGCATCTCGCAGGAGCAGGTCTGTCCTGGGGCCCGAGACCCCGTTCCTACCTGGCTCTTCCCTGGGAGTCTCCCCACCCTCGCTCTGCAGCTGGGGTTTATTGGAGTAGGGGGGGAGTGTGTGTCTGTGTGTTCAATATCTACTTTTTAAATGAAAATCTATGCTGCACCACATAACCCTTTTGTGGACTTTAAGCTGACCCTTTCAGATACGTGCACAAGGGGAAATCCCAGGGAAAGATTTAAGATACCTGAGACGCACACGCACCTCATGTCAGGGGCCACACCTCCGGGTTACAGCTGGAAGGGAGAACAAACTGGTATATCGATGCGGCTCTAAACACCAGCGTGTGTGAAGGCCCGGGGCGCCTCGGGATTGACCAAGAGGAAACACATGTTGCACAATGATACGATCTTGTTGGTACAGTTGTCAGAGGAGGGAACTCCCACAGCAAAGGGCATAAAACCTTCCAGGGCAGTCTGGGGCGGCTCAGTTCTGCGGTGCCAGGGAGCAGAGCAGAGCCCAGCCCCGCCCCGCACACAGATGGGACCATGAACTCCAACCACAGCTTCAGCCAGATCCCCTCCGGCTCCCTCCCTGGCACTGGGGGCGGCTGGGGCCGGCCTGGGGGCTTCCCCCGGGCTCCCAGCGTCCACGGGGGTGCAGGGGGCGTCCGCGTCTCCCTTTCCTTCACCTCGCCAAGCTGCCTGGCCCCTCGAGGGTTTTGGGGACCTGGAAGAGGCAGCTCCCTCCTAGGAGGAAATGGGAAGGTGATGATGCAGAACCTCAATGAGCGCCTGGCCTCCTACCTGGACAAGGTGCGCGCCCTGGAGGAGGCCAACGTGAGGCTCGAAAGCCGCATCCTGAAGTGGCACCAGCAGAGGGACACTGGCAGTGAACAAGACCATTCGCAGCACGAGGAGAACATCAACAGCCTGCAGGAGCAGGTAAGAGCCGGCAGACATGGAGCTCAAGGGGGCTGCATGTCCAGGGACCCGCGGGAGGAGAAGTCAGTACAAAAGGCAGCTGCCAGGAAAATGGCAGAAGAGCGTAAAGTAATTGTGAACAAGGGTATTTGAGGACGTTTTCTTAGTCTACCTTAAATGTGGACTTTGGAAAGTCTGTTTTATGTATTTAATTGCTGTACATAAGTTGTGTGAAAAAAAATCTAAAAACTCTAAGTCACCCAGCGGCTGTCCAGTGTCGCCACGACCCAGCAGTGGCACCGTGATGATAGGGGCTGGGACTCCTTCCCCCCGTCCAGTGCACGAGGCACAAGGCAGCATCTGCTTTCTCATGACATCGGCTCTGCTCCGCCTCGGAGAACTGACGGTTATCTGGCAAAGAAAGGCTGAGTTACACTGTTTTGGAGATCACATCTGAAAGCCGTCACCCCATGAGCAGGTTCATAACTGACATCCCTGGATAGTTCTTGGGGGTTGCAGAGGTTCTAAGTTTCTAGATGCTAACAGTTCTAAAAAGGCATTTAGCTAGAAAAAGTAATAATAAAATGAGCACGGTTTTTGGAATCTTAAAGTTAGGGTGGGTTATGGAGACGTCTTCAAAAAATAAATAGCTTTGGATCCAAAGATTTTAAAAGCTAAGCTTATACCTTCTGGGACATCTCATAACACTGGCTAGAAGTAGAGGGAATCCAGTCATCTCATTGGTTATTTTTTGAAGATACATAACTTCCCTTTATGTAAAGCAGACCCAGAAAATGTCGGGCAGGATCATGACTTAACCTACCCTAAAAAGGGCATCACAGGTTTCCAATATGTATATAATACTATTTCTCAACACGCAGTCATCCTTGCGTGAACATAGGAAGGACCAATCAAGATAATATAAATCTGTCCTCATAATAAACCCTAATTATGGAATAATCAACCTAATAACTGACTGTGTAATTACCTTAACTATATAGTACATGGTTGTCTTTAGAAAAAAAACAAGGTGACTCAACAAACCTCCCCATATTTTGTTTTCATTAATAAAGTTGCTTTGGTTTTAGAATGGAAAGAAGAGAAGATTTTTGCAAATAGACAGCTTAGAATGCAACTCCCAAAAGAAATGTGAGGTTAGACTTGGTCAAATAATTCATTAGCTGACAGCAGAGAGGAGAAAGGGGAGAGAAAGAAGAGAAACATTTATTGAGCACTTATTATATGCCAGGCATCATGCTGGGTATTTAATACACTTACCAGGGCCATCTCGAAGTTTTCGGCAATGACGGAAACATTTTGTAGCATCTGATTTAATTCTCACAACCATCCTGGAAAAAAACTGAAGCCCAGAAGAGTGACGTGGCAATCCAAAGGCACTCGAAAGAGCCAGAGGTGGGATTCTAACCCAAACTGTTTCCAATGGCCTCCATTTCCACAGAGTATGGTGCTAACTAGCCTACCTCATACAACAATGATACTGTTCACGGAGAAAGATAATGCATTGCATTTGCATTGTTAATTATATAGCGCCTATTTCAGACACATCATTTCATTCTATGAAGCAGGTAGTTTTATCCCCAATATACAGGTGAGCAGACTGAGACCAAGTGGTTGCCTACACTCCTTAGAGCAGAACTGAGAAAAACGAGAGGGGCCCATGAGGAGGAGGGGGCAGCTTGCCGACTGCCCAGGTGGCCCTGGGTTCTGGGTTCTAAGATTAAATAGGGGGCTTCAAATTCCACTCTTTACTGAATTTCTTACTTCAGTTGTTACATTTTCTCCATGTTAGAAGAAAACAGCTCTCTGAAATGGAGGTTGTCTATCTACCCCAATCTCCCGTGTTTTCAGGTAAAAACAGAGACCCGAAGAGGTGCCGCAGGTGCCCAGGGCTAACCCTCCCCAGGCCTTGCTGAATGTTCCCAGTCGATACAGCACTCTACCGGCCCAAGTTGAGGGATTTTTTTTTTCAGTTTAGGGATATTAAATGTTATTCAAAAAGTTTACAAGAAATTGAGTTCAAAAATAAATCCACTCTTTTGAAACACAGAGCTGGACACAGAGGTATATTAGAATCGCTCATAATAGAACTCTACTTGGTTTTGGATTACGATAAAATATTCTATTTTCCTCTCCCGGGTAGGAGATTACACACCCTGGAGCAATGATGCTATACTACTAATACACCGACTAGATTCTTTTAAAAGCATTCACTTGGGGCCCTAGGGGAAATCCAGGTGATTAATTACAACACACAGTGTAAAACCTATGCCTCGTATTCTTTCTCAATCCTCCCCATCCATTCACTACTGCAAAGGGTGTCTCAGAAACGGTGGTTGTATCATAATATTGCATCAAGCAACTCAAGCAGTGGGAAATAGTTTCAGTTTTTAAATGTGCTCTATATCAAGTACATTTCAGAACTCACCACTCAACGGGGGCTTTGCAATGGATAAATTATCCGTTTAACTCATAAAAGATGATATTTTTGTTTCTGTGGAGTCTACAGTGAATGGTTTCTCTAGATGTCAGTCAACACTGTAGAGCACAAGTAAGGCTAACTCTAGGGGTCTCTAGGCCTTTTTTGGATGGAGCTACTTTTTATTTCCCATGAGCTTAGATAATACAAAGAATGAAGTGTCTGGAGGGAAAAGAATTTGGTAAGAAAGTCCCTAAGAAAGCCATAGAGGGAAGACAAAGCAATACCTACAGAATCTTTAGTTAGAGCAAAGGGAGTACTCCTAGTACCATTTGGAATCCCCCAAGGGAAGGAAGAAGTTGCACAGGGGAAGCCAACCTGGTTATCTCCTGCCACAAACAGAGTCTGAGGGTACATCTCAACACATTACTCCTGGGCTGTGCCCAATGCAGACATTGGCTCTCGTTACAAACGTGTTAGATTTTAAAGAAGACAATTTTGACTTAATTGGGTTTCAACTAATTTTTCAGTGTCTACAGTATGCCCAGAAAATGCTAAGGATTTTACAACATTATTTCATCTCTTCTAATCTAATTCTCATAACTCTTTGAGAAGTGGCTATCACAGTTGTTATCATTGCCAGTCTATGAATGAAGAAACTGACACTTGGCCAGCGTACTCAGCTAGCGGTCCAGGTCCACTGGTACCGCCACCTCTGAATCCTGCTATTGTGCATTCATCATACCAAATTCCATGCAGTCAGTGAAGCTTTGAATAGGACCAGATTTGTAAAAGGTGCCTTTGTATTCAAGTATAACTTTGTCCAAAGAAAACCCTTTCCAAATAAAGGAATTATTTGTATAAATACAATGGGACTATCACAGGATTGTCTGGCTCCAAAAAAATTACAGAAGTTTAGAGCTATGACCCCTGAGGTCACCTGCTTCTAGCACAAACTCCTTACTTAGCAGACGATGGAACTGAAGCCCAGGCGATGGAGTGGCTGACCCAAGTTCACGCCAATGATCAGTAATAGGAAGTAAAAGGAAAATCTCCCAGTTCCAAGTTCAGCACAATATTTGGTACAAATGTAGCATTATACTTTTGACATTGAGACATCTCCTACCTAATTTTCCTGAAGACAGTGACATACATCCAATGTGTACTATTTCTCTGATTACAACTACCTAGAAGTATTTATAAATCCTATACATATACACAATTGCTCAGGTAAACACTTTGAACAATATTGTTCTTTTTAAAGTAACAAAGTATATGAACATCTAGTGAAAGTCTTAGACAGAAGGCTTTAACACAATTAAAGTTTATTAAGCTGCTTCATTAGATGGTAACAAATCATTTCATTCCTATTTTAATAGCTACAATTGGGGCATTCTCATCATGAAATAATTGACAAATACATACCTACAAGTTATGTATATGACTACAGTTATTTTGGACAGGATGTAATTATGGTATGTAATGACCCTAATAAAATACATATAAAATTTATTTCAAAAATTAGTATCAGTAATACTATGCTCAGTATCACAGATCACAAACATGAATGCCACCCTGGCTGGTTTGGCTCAATGCCTAGAGCGTTGGCCTGAGGACCAAAGGGTCTCAGGCTCAATGCCCGGTCAAGGGCACATACCTGAGTTGCAGGTTTGATCCCTGACCCCAGTTGGGGTTATGTGGGAAGCAACCAATCAGTGTGTCTCTCTCACATTGATGTTTTGCTCACTTGTTTGCTCTCCCCCCACCCCCTTCCCTTCCACTCTATCTAAAAACCAATAGAAAAATGTCCCAGGGTGAGGATTAACAAAAAGAAAGAAAGACTGCCCAGCCGGTGTGGCTCAGTGGTTGGGCAACAACCCATGCACCAAAAGGTCACCGGTTCCATTCCCGGTCAGGCCCCATGCCCAGGTTGTGGGCCCAATCCCCAGTGGGGGGCATGCAGGAGGCGGCCAATCGATGTTCTCTCTCATCGATGTTTCTATCTCTCTCTCCCTCTCCCTTCCTCTCTATCTAAAATCAATAAAGAAAAAACAACTATTTTTTTAAAAAAAGAAACAAAGGTAGATGAATGTCATCACAAGAAAGATGTTCTTCTAAAATATTATTTTACTTTGGGAGAGCCAAACTAATTTTCACAGTAAGAAAAAGATCAGAACCTAAACCACTTTTAACATCTTCAGTATGAATAAGCTTAAGCAAAACAGTAAGGAACGTATCCAGTGCTGGAAAGGTAGAAGGCACCTTGAACAATCACACTCCTTCCCAGTCCTACGTCATTCTTTCGGCACTGGCATCAGTCACAGCCTGTCAAAACTCCATGAAAAAGACAATGCAGACCATAGCCTTCCTATAGAACCATCTATGCTTTGTGCCTAATAAGTACTCAATAAATGTTTATTGATGTGATTATTCCACGGCCAGAAAGACAAGTCATCTGTACTACCAAATCACATACCCAGGAGACTGGAGGGCAGAAACCCAGCTTTCCTGTGCGGTGTGTTCCACTGGAATGACTGTTGGGGCATATTTTACAGATAGTGGATGGCAAGCTGACCAATGCTCGGGTCATTCTTCTCATTGACAATGCCAGGATGGCAGTGGATGACTTCAACCTCAAGTAAGTTCCTTCTTCAGAGTAGTGTGTGTGTATGTGTGTGTGTGTGTGTGTGTGTGTTGGGGGGGATGTTTGGGTGTTATTTTCTGTTTCTGTTTTGCAGAAGGAAAACTTATCTCACCATTAATCACATGTAAAAATCCTACTGAAGGCATAACAAATAAATACTTGACTGGAATTTAAACAAACCAGCATATAAAACACACTTTTTGTTGTGAGAAAATTTGAATATGAAACAAGAATTAGATGATATTGAAGAGTTTGGTGGGTTTTTTTTAATGTTTTAGGTGAGATAATGTTATTGTGCTTATTTAGAAAACATGTCTTCTTCTTAGAAGATTCATTCTGAAGCATTTATGCTATGTCTACAACTTACTTTAAAATGCAAAAGGGAATATAGATGAAGCAAATGTGGCAAAATGTTAATGGTTGCTAAATCCAGGTGATGGGCACGTGAATTTTATTATTTTATTCTCTCTATTAAAAAAATAATATTGAGTCATCATATAGAAACACATGCATGAAACAGATGTACAAAGAATAAATAGCATGTATTAATTTGCTCCCATTAAACCTGAAAAGTGTGAGAGTCACCTCTAAATGAAGGTGAATCCTTACAAAGACCACACACAGCAGGTGTACTCTTTCCTTCCTTCTAACCAAAGGTATGAAAATGAACATTCCTTCAAGAAAGACTTGGAAGTTGAAGTTGAAAGTCTCCGAAAGACCTTGGATGACCTGACCATTGTCACAACAGACCTGGAACAGGAGGTCGAGGGGTTGAGGAAAGAGCTCATCCTCATGAAGAAGCGCCATGAGCAGGTAGGACTCCCCAGGAATCACCGCACAGCTCTCAATTTGCACAATTTAAATGGTTTGATGGCTGCAGAAGAAACTACCATTTATATGCCAGTTCTATTGTCCTTCAGCCTAAATAATCATAAGAAACCATATAAACATCTAATTTTTCCTATTCCAAGGTTATCTACTCAATGTCAAATACAACAGCTAAAATACAATCACAATTAACAATAGATGGGGCAACAATTTTAATATGCAATGTTTACCTGGATTTGTTTGTTAATATAATACTGTAGGAGTAAATGTGTGAGACTGAACTTCCTTCGTTGACTCAACGTGCAGCAAATGGAGGAGCAATAGAATAAAGGGAATCTGCTACTAAACAAGCTATGTATGACTAGAGGCAAAAATTAAGAATCCTAATTCCCAGAAACATTTAAATGACTTTTGAAAAGTTACCATCCATCTAAAATCCCTGAGATGTTGATAAAATGACAGAAAAACAATCCCTATTTTAGGCAAACAAAATTGATTATGAATATCAACGCTGTTTAGACAATGACTATTAATTAAACCTTTCCTGTGACTTCTTGGTTTTCAAGCTATTCAATGGGTGTCAGCCCTACAGAATTCCAATGCACTGATGAGATTTTAAAAGCCTCTACACCTTTTGGCTTTGGGCTACTGAACTGCTACCCAAAAGCTTTGGTCTATACCCTGAAATGTTCAGTTGCTTAGTTTTGGTATTGCTTCACCCATGAGCATTTGCTGAAGAGTACTTTACACACTGTGTAAGCATAATTCTTGCTGAAATATTTTCAACCAGGGATTAAGTCAGTAATTATAAAGGCCATTCAATGACCTGTATGGTGCTACTCCTTATTTTATAAAAGTATAAGAGGGACTTCCGGTCAAGATGGCAGCGCAGGTACATGCGGTATCGCGTCCTCCCACAACCACATCAAAGTTACAACTAAACTACAGAACAACCATCATTCAAAACCACCTGAAATCAAGCTGAATGGAAGCCCTACAACTACAGAATTAAAGCAGCAGCCACATCCAGACTGGTAGGAGGGGCGGACGGGCTGGTCCCATACCCACGTGTGGTGGATAAAAATCAGGAGGACACCTCGGCTGGGAAGGTCCTCCCTGAGGACTGATGGGTCCCCGTCCCACACCAGGTGCCCCGCTCAGGGTTCCAGTGCCAGGAAGAGAATCCCCATAACTTCTGGCTGGAAAAACCAGCGGGAACTGAGGCTCAGGGAGGCTGAGGCGGCTGGAGCCCCAGGCAGCTCCTTAAAGGGCCTGTGCACGGACTTATCGGACTCTCTCCCTCTAAGCTTGGAGGGGAGGCAGCTCGAGGGGCGCCAGAGACATACAGGGAAGAACTGAGCTGTTTGGCATTGGAGCGAGGGCTGGAGAGAGGGCTGGAGAGGGGGCTTTCTCTGGGACAAACGTGCTGTCAGAGGCCTTTGTTTTTTTGGTGAGCCCTTCCCTGGGGCGGCAGACAGTCGCCATATCTGGGACTCCAGCAACCTGGCTCACACTGGTCGCCCCGCCCTAGTGATTCCCTGAGGCCCTGCCCCACCCAACTTCCAAGCCCACCCAAGCTGTTGCCAGTTGCTTAACCATAGGATTGGCCTGTCTTGAATCCTGCTTCAGGTTTTCCTAAATTCTTTCAAACAAGCAGCATCTGGTCTCAGCTAGCCCCATACCTCTCATTAAGTAATACATAGAAACAAACACAGGGAGGCAGCCAAAATGAGGAGACAAAGAAACAGGTCCCAATGAAAGAACAAAAAATATCTCCAGGAAAAAAATATAAGCAAAATGGAGATGAGCAATCTAACAGATGCTGAGTTCAAAATACTGCTTATAAGGATGCTCAATTAGTGAGGGCTAACTTAGTGAGGGCCTCAAGAGCATCAAAAGGACCAGTCAGAAATGAAGGAGGCACTAACTGAAATAAAGAATAATTTACACAGATTCAATAGTAGAGTACGTAAAGCCAAGAAGCAAACCATAAGTTTGGAATATAAAGAAGCAAAAAACACCCAATCAGAACAGCAAAAAGAAAAAAAAATCCCCAAAAATGAGGATAGTGTAAGGAGCCTCTGGGACAACTTCAAGTGTACCAACATTCGCATCTTGGAGGTGCCAGAAGGAGAAGAGAGAGAACAAGAAATCGAAAACCTATTTGAAACAATAATGGTACAAAACTTCCCTAACTTGGTGATGGAAACAGATATACAAGTCCAGGAAGCACAGAGAGCCCCAAACAACATGAACCCCTAAGAGACCCACACCAACACACATCATCATCAAAATGCAAAAGGTTCAAGACAAAGAGAGAATCTTAAAAGCAGCAAGAGAAAAGCAGTTCGTTACTTACGAGGGAGTTCCCATAAGATTGTCAGCTGATTACTCAAAAGAAACTTCGCAGGCCAAGAAGGGAGTGGCAAGAAATATTCAGAGTGATGAAAAGTAAGAACCTACAACCAAGATGACTCTATCCCGCAAAGCTGTCATTTAGAATTGATGGCCATATAAAGAGTTTCCCAGACAAGAAAAAGTTAAAGGAGTTCATCACCACCAAACCGTTATTATATGAAATGTTGAAGGGTCTTTTTGAAGAAAAAGATAAAATATATGAACAAACAAAATGGCAGTGAATACATATCTATCGACAATGGAATCTACAAACAAAATGAACAGGCAGAACAGAAGCATTCTCATAGATACAGAGAACATTTTGTTGTTTGCCAGATGGGAGGGGGTGTTGCAGGAATGGGTGAAAAAGGTGAAGGGGTTAAGAAGAACAAATTGGTTGCTAGACTGACAAACCTCAAAGAGAAGGGGGTTGTGGGGTGGAAAGAAATAAACCAAAGAACTTACATGCATAACCAGTAGACACAGACAACAGTGTGGGAAAAGGCAGGAGGGGGACAGGAGTGGGGAGGAGGGGGTCAATGGGGGAAAAATGAGGAACATCTGTAATACATTCAACAATAAAGATAATAAATAAATAAAAATAATATAAGAGGAAAGATTCGTATGTTTTGTCATCAATAACTAATATCTGAGAAGCCAAACCAAATCCATGAAACAGCAGCAACCACATGGGCTGGATTTTTTAAAGATCCATTCACTGCTGCCAACCTACACACTTCCTTCTGATTGTCACAGCCAATTCATTTTCTTTCTCTGTTATTAAACAGGAAATGGAGGAACAGCATGTGCCAAATGACTTCAAGGTCAATGTGAAGGTGGATACAACCCCAGGGGAAGATCTGATTAAGATCCTGGAGGATATGAGGCAGGAATACGAGTTAATGATAAAAAAGAAGCATAGAGACTTGGATGCTTGGTATAGAGAGCAGGTAAAGGAAAGGTGCCCAAACTCCCCAAAGGTTCCACTTCCATGAGGCCAGTGCCAACGCCTCTGCTCTCTGCTTGATCTCACAGTCAGCAGCCATGGCCCGGGAGACAGCCAGCCCTACCGCTGTGCCGAGCAACCAAAGTAACGTCCACGAGCTGAAGCGCACGTTCCAGGCCCTGGAAATTGACCTGCAGTCTCAGCACAACAGGGTGAGTCTGAGCTGGGGAAATCCTGCGTTGGGTATCACCTCCTCCACAAATCCTTCTGTCCCCTCCCTTGGGCCCAGCTCCATTGGGACAGCTTTCACGCCCCGCTTTCCATCCAAATTGTTCTTGACGAGAACGACAAGAGCTGTCATTTTTGCAATGTCCGCCTTGTACCAGCTGGTGTGCTGAGGAGTTCATTCTACTAAATGTCACCCATCCTCACATTAACCTTCCCAGGTTGGGCTTATTGTCCCCACTTCAGAGAGGAGGAAACCAAGATCCAAAGAGTTAAGTAAACTGGCCGAGGTCACACAGCTCAGGGTCAGTGGTGAAGCTATGCAATGTTTCGGGAGTGGGGCAGCTCTAGACCCCCATGATCTCTGTCAGGGCTCTCCCCACTTACAACCCGACTGTCCCCCACAAATCCTAATAAAAAGACATTCTGGGCCTGGCTGACTCCAAAGTACTGCTCTATGCATTAGGCCTGTCTTCTTGTTCAGCAAACTTAAGTTCTTGTGTCCCAGTAACCTTTATGTCTTCACAGTATTTAGTCAAATGCTATGGATCAGTGTCATAAACATTCAAAATTCATTACAGAAAATCGATCTAAATCTCCTTCTCAGTCATCATTATCATTACTGGCTGCTCCTCTGCCCTTGATCTTGGGGAGAAATTATTAGTTCGTTGTGTTGCAGGCGCACATGGTAAATTACTGCTGTGTTTCAGGAATCAGTGATGGTGAACAGACATTTACAATCTGCACTGTCAAGGTGATCACAATGCACCCAGAAACAATGTTGCAGCTTTCAGAACATTTTACTACAGAGTATTCCACCTCAACCCTGCAAGCCAGCCAGTCATTAACACCTGTTTCCATGCATTCTGCTGTCTGACACCATTCTATGTGCTGAGGATTCAATAACAAGTGATTTTATATTCTAGTGGGATAATAACCAATAAATGTACAAATCATCAAAATATGTAACACGTTAGGTGGAGAAAAGGGCTGCAAACAAATGAAGCATGGGAGAGAGGTGAGAGCTGCCATGGCCACCGTGGCACGGGGAGGGTTTTACTGTTGAGGTGACAGTTAAGCAAAAACTTTAGAGTGGTGAGGAGGTACATTATGTATCAGGGGACGAGGGGTGGGGGTTCCAGGCGGAGGGAACAGCCAATGCAAAAGCTGCGAGGCACAGGTGTGTCCGATGGGTTGGAGGCGCAACAGGGAAGCAAGTGTGGCTGAAAAACAAGTGACAAGGGGAAGAAGAGAGGAGAGAAGAGGAGAGGAGGGGAGGGAACGAGAGAAAAGGCCATGGGGTAAAGTGGAGCCAGACCATGTAGCCTTGACCCTTAGAGGGAGGTCAAGGAGAATGTGGAACAGCAGGTATAGATAGTTCTCGAAGGAGTTTCACGGCAGGTGAAGGAGAGCAGAGACACTGGATGCCAGCCAAAGGTAGACATGGGCTCAAGAGAGAATCATTATAAGGTGGAAGAAATGAGTCCACTTGAAAGCTGGTGGGAGTAACCCAGCAGAGAGGAGCACGCCGATGATGCAGGAAGGCGGGCCATCGCCGAGGTGCCTGGAGCACAGACGGCGTGCGGACCAGGAGGGACGGGAGCACCCGGGCCCTGATCCGGTGCGTGGGTGCAAGTGTCGGTGGGGTTTGTGGGCATTTTCTCCTCGTTGCTTTCATTTCCTCCGTGACGCAGGAAGCTTGGGCTGAAAGAAAGGATGGGAGGGAAGGAGGTTTGAGGACAGAGAAGAATTCTCCTCTGGGAGAACAGGAGTGACTAGACCAGGGACATGTGGTTTAGTGACCAGGAAGCATAAGGGGCTGAGCGGCAGCAGCCACAGGGTGCCCAGCGCTGTTATGAGCTCCTCCCTGAGGTGAGAGTTACGTGCTCCTGAAGAGCAGGTGGAAACCCAAACACACAGGGACTTGAACTCGCTTCTCTGCATCCTAGCCCAGCAAGTTCATTTCGCAGCTTTTAGACACTCCTCAGTGATGACAGCTTGTCACCATAATCAAAAGGCATTGTTGTGACCAGGGTTGCCAGATTCGCCAAATTAAAATATAGGACACCCCGTTAAATTTTACTTTCAGACAAATAATAGAGTGGTTTTGGTATAAGTATGTCCCATGCACTGTTGGGGTAATAGTTAGGGCATACTTATACTAAAAAATTCCCCGTTGCACATCTTTAATGCAAATGTAATAGGCGCCCTCCCTTTTATCTGGCATCCCTCCTGGCACCTTTCCACCTGGCCAGAGACAAACGTCAGCATGAGGAGGTAAGAATCGATCAGGGCAGGTCGCTTACGCCCAATCCCCAGTGAATAGGATGAACAGTAAAGGCTACAGGGCAGCAGAGTTGCCAAGACGCCCTGACACAACGGTTTCCGGCCCAGAAAACGGGCTTTAAAAGTGCAGAGTCTGCTCGACTCCTGGCTGCCCAAGTCCCAACCCTGAGTCAGCCGGCTGCTCGCCTCACCCCCAGCAGCCGAGACACCTCGCAGCGAGGTGGACGTCTTCTACTTGCTCAGCAAGCTCACGTCACTGAATCCATCCAGCCGTCAGCCCGCCGATGTTAGAACTGCCATTTCCTCTTCCAGAAATCCGCTCTGGAAAACATGCTGTCGGAGACCCGGTCTCGGCACTCCCGCCAGCTCCAGGACATGCAGCAGCTCATCTCCCACTACGAGGAGGAACTGCTGCAGCTGCGCCACGACCTGGAGTGGCAGAACCGCGAGTACAAGGTCCTTCTGGGCATCAAAACCCACCTGGAGAAGGAGATCTCCACCTACCGCCAGCTCCTGGAGGGAGAGAGCCCAGGGTAAGGCGAGGCTGGCGGGGAGGACGCCAGGGGCACCGCAGGCGAGGGTACACTCACGTACCTTGCGGTTCTCTTAGCCAGCGTCCCTCTAGAGCACGAAGGGTTATGTTGAATTCCTCCTGAAGATACTCAGGACGGTTGTATTCCATTAAGCAGCAAGTGTGAATGATCAGGGATTATTCCCAAGACACTGAGATTTGAGTCAGCAGCTGAAATGAATCTATTAAAATCTCTAGAAAGAAACAATCAAGAAGGTACGGCTCTAGTGTTAGCCAATGGGAGCGCACACAATTCGGGCTCCAGAAAAAAGGAAGATTGGGGGAATCATTTAGTCTAATAGCAGGAAGAGATGCGTAGAGATTGAGGTCTCTAGATGTTCAATCTGTTCTTTCTGACTACCTCCAGAAATAATAATAGCTGTCCACAAAAAGGGCACATACGTTCTACGACCTAAGAGAAAGGGCTGGTAAGTTTTTGAAAAGTACATAAAGTTATTGAGAAGCCCAAGGGTTCCGGGCTGCAGACCCAGACCCTGGGAAGGATCCTGATGAAGGCAAAGCCTGCAGGTGGCTACAAGGACAGAAGGCGCATGGGACGTCTCTGTCCCCAGGGTAGTGGAAGGCGGTACTCGCTGCCTTCTGGGTCCAGGAGGTTCCCCCATGAACGCGTGACCTTGAGACCAGCTCAGACAATTACCCTCATTAAAGAGGTACGATTTACAAGCAGGCAAAGAAACTCATTCAACATGAGACTATTTATGATTATTGATAATACTAAAATGAGCTTTAACATTTATCACTTTTATAGGACAGCAGAGGAATCTAAGCTGAGCGTGAAAGGTAAAAAAAAATTCTTTCGTTGTTTGAATCTTCTTAAAAACTAAATCAGCATATTTATCCATTCTGTAGTATTCATAATCTTTCATGGACTCCCAAATGTCCTAGGTTCAATTTTTCTTTTACTCCCAAATGGCCAGGAATGTTTAATTAAATGGACACATTGAATATCACAGAACAAAGTGAGCTCTCAACATTGTCCTCAACAATATATATGGAAGCTCTTTGCAAGTAGTAAAGTAGATAAAAATAATCATTCATGTTATTATATCTCTATCAAGTGATGGAATCTGTTTACTAAAGTCCTAGGAAAATACAAGAAAATGGCTTCACGTAGTTTCCCAAACCATATTCTGTTGAACACAGTGTCCCATGAGACTTGAATCGTGTATTATGAGAGACGTGTGCTGTGACCAGATGGGGTTTATCCTCTTTGTGAAGAGCCACGCTGTGTTTCGTATGTTAAAGCTGAAACAATGTTGGGAAGGCGCTTTTCGGGGAAGAAAAGGAACGAGAAAGGTTATGAACAACAAAAGTTCCATTTTTTTTAACCTGGTGTTCCCAAACATCTTTGACCTGGGAACTCTACTTTCTCAGATTGCCTTTAACATCTCACAGAAAAATTCCAAGAGACAAGTCTGGCACTTTCTGATCAGTTTGTGGAAATAATGTCCTCAGGCATTAGGGATTCAGAGAACCCGAGTTCGGGTAACCATCACCAGACGGCTGGTCTAACTGCTGCCCGTCTGCAGCCTCTCCTTACCCATCCCCAGGGATGCAGAACCCACTGCTTGGTGGGGTGGGCCAATCTATTGTTGGAGAGGTTCTCCCTGTATCTCTGTTAATGGTTTCCCTTCTTCCCTCTGGTTTAGAATCAATTTATTGATGTGTCAAAAAGCACTTATTCAAATAAATCATACCTTTGAACACTGCGACCAAAATAAACATCCCTGGCTTCTTGCCACCCCTCACATGGTATGCTTGCTAGATCTGAAAACGGGGTGCCCAGAATGGCATTTAGTACTCTGTACACTCACGGAATCTGTGGTGCAAGTGCTACAAAGCCCACGGAGCAGAAAGGACTCCTGGAATGCTTGTGGCCAGTGACCAGATTCCCTATCAGGCAGACCGAGGATGAAGGTCTTGACTGTCCAGACACCCCCACTTCCTGGAGGGTGGGAAGCATAACCTTTTCACTGCAGCAGAGACTGTCATACTGCTTAGTGGTCATTTCAGAAGGCACAGAGAGCCTTAGGGTGCTGCAAACAGTACAGATCAGATGTGGGGGGAGCGTGGCAGTGACCTCTTCGTTGCTCTTTTCCCCAGCGTCTGCAGCTCCAAAGATCATAGCCATCACACAGGAGAGCGTCAATGGAAGAGTAATTTATTCTCAAGTGAATGAGATCCAAAAGCATGCGTGAGGCTAATACACGCTTCTGCCTGTTGTAGAAACTATTTTTCTGCCGGGGAAAGGCCTTCCTTGCCCAGACACAAATGGGTGAGTCCTAAGAGGTATCCTTAGGGTTATCACACTCAGCAATGTATTTTTCTCTGTAACAATGTCATCAGACATTCCACAATGATCTTAATCTACTGCTGTATTTTTGCATCAGAGTATGAATTCATGAGCTTAAAGCTCTACTTTCTTTGTATCTGTTTTGTAACCAATAAACCTCCATAGCAGATGCGTTGTCTTTTTTTTATATCAAAGGCAAGGTAAGGCCGCAAGGTCTCCTCCTAACCACGGATACTCAGAGCATTGTCCATAAAAGATCCAGGGACTTGAATGCTCTGATCGTGTCCACAGCAGCCAAACAGGGGGTAGAATTGTCCTGCAGTCAGGCAGCTTAGGGACGAGACGTGGCTCACGAGCCTCTGCAGACTTCTGCCAGCAGGAAGGGGGAAACAGAGCAGAGGAGGGCCAGAAAGCCTCACTAAGAATGGGAGGTGACCAGAAATTATTTTATCTCACATAAATACTATTAGTTAATCGATTAATTAATTAACTTAAAAGTTTAAGGACCTCCCAGTAGGTGTGGCTCAGTGGTTGAGCGTCGACCCATGCACCAAGAGGTCATCGGTCGATTCCCAGTCAGGGCACATGCCCAGGTTGTGGGCCCGATCCCCAGTGGGCGGCATGCAGGAAGTGGCCAATTGATGTTCTCTCTCATTGATGTTTCTCTCTTTCTCACCCCCTCCCTTCCTCTCTCTCTAAAAAAAAATCAATAAAGAAAAAATATTTTTAATAAAAAAATAAATTTTTTTAAAAAAGTCTTAAGGGCTTAAAAGAGAGTTAACACTAGAGAAGGAAATTCAGAAAATAAAAATTCTTATTACAGATAGATACTAAGACCCTAAAAGGGGACGTGACTTGTCCAATATCCGAATTCCAGACACCAGCATCCAGAGTACTATGCCGAGGTGTAGTAGGGGACTGTGACCTCTGTCCTCTGAAGAAGGTGTCATTTTCTCACGCCGTAGCTGTGTGAGTCATTGTTCCAAGGCTGGCACAGAGGACCACGGCTGGGGAAAAGGAAGCTAGAAATCCACCAAGACATCATCAGGATGCCGGGCGCGGAATTACACAACAGTAACACTTTAAGGGGCCATGGCACCGGCTAGTCAAACTCCCCCACTTTACAAACAAGTGGAGGCCCAGAGCAAGAAGGACGCTCACCCACACACTCCCTGGGGTGGCGGCCGGGTCTGGATCCTGCTCTGCTGGCTCTGTTGACAGCTGTTAAACTGAAAGTGGTGTAGTTGAGTTCTGCTGCCGTCTAACACGCTGACAGTGTCCCCTGTGGTTTGTGTTTCTATGTTGTAATACTCTTTGGGAAAGGATTGCTTTTGATACTCTGTGAACCGGGTATCTGGAAAAACTGGATTAGTCCTCCCTTTAAGGCAATAATTAGCGTTTTTGATTCTTTTTTTTGTTTGTTTTTTTTTATCCTCACCCGAGGACATTTTTCCATTTTTTGTTCAGGTAGAGTGGGAGGGAGAGAGAGGAACAGAGAGAGAGAGAGAAACATCGATGTGAAAGGAACACATCGAGTGGCTGCCACCCGCACAACCGACCAGGGCCGGGGACAAACTGCAGCCGAGGCACGCGCCCTTAGCGGGAACCGAACCCGGGTCTCTCAGGACCGCAGGCCGACGCTCTAACCGCTGAGCCAAACTGGCCAGGGCTTATCTCACTTGTTTTTTTTTTGTTGTTTTTTTTTAGCGTTTTTGATTCTTAATGCCCAAAGAATCTGAAATTGGGCTAAAGGACCTGGGATAATCACATCATTGCAAAATGTATTATTGATTTAACTGAAATACACAAATTCTTCGGGGTAAAATTATAACTTTATCTTCACTGTGTAATTACTTCAAAGAAACTCAAAAATAACCAACATTTTCCATGAGTTTTCTTTGTGGTTTTTGATGTTCGGATCCCCATCAAACTTCATTAGTTCTCTTTTTCTATTTCATTTTACTATAAGAACTTCATGTCAATAAGATAGTACTGTCTCAAAGCATATCTAAAATTAAATTTTTCTCTATTTCACACCAATTCACTCAGCTATTTTAGATATTATCTCTTTCTTGAAATCTAGAAATTATGCATAAAATATACATGTTTCCTCAAAGTGAGGTGTGACCATTGCTAGCGAAATCTTTTGAAGAATATTCAAAAAGAATATGACAAGCTGAAGGGTAAGTTATAATATTAGACCCAGGAAATAACCACTAACCTTCCATTTACCATCATAGTTTATATATGATGTGATGATAATAAACCATAACATATTAATAACTTTACATTTAAGAAGCAAAGTGTCCTTAAAGTCTTATTAATTGTCACCGTATCAAGTAAAGTCTCATTCATCGACCAGCTCACCCCAGCTTGCCCAGGAAACCCCTCAGTCCCAGGCAGACTGGGGTGGTTGATAAAATTGTTCTCGTCTTCGTCCATTCGGGCTGCCTTACCGGAAAACCACGGACTGGATGGCTGAGAAACAACAGACGCTAATTTCCCACAGTGCTGGAGGCTGAGGAGTCCAACATCAAGGCGCCAGCACGGCGGCATGTCGCTGAGGGCCCGCTTCCTGGTCCTCACATGACGGGAAGGGCAGGGAGCTGGGGCGGGGGGCGTCTTCTCTAAGAGCATCGATCCCACTCATGAGGGCTGCACCCTCATGACCTCAGCCACACTCAACAGCCTCACCTCCTAAAACCATCACCTTTTAGGGATTAGAATGTCAACGTATGAACTTTTCTGACTGTGACATTTCTATTTCACTAAAGAGAGACAAGTAGAGATAAATTAAACCATTTGCCTAAATAAAGAGACAATCGAGTTGAGTTTAGAGTCTAGGTAACATAGATAACATCTCTCCGCATCTAAATCAGCCCAAAAGTCTTTCAAAATACCCATTACAAGAAGAACAGAAACAGACTCATAGATACAGAGAACATTTTGACAGTTGCCAGATGGGATGGAGGTTGGGGAGCGGGGTGAAAAGGTGAAGTCATTAAGAAGTACAAATGGGTAATTACAGAATAGTCACAGGCATGCAAAGTACAGCACAGGGAATATAGTCAATAATACTGTAATCACTGTGTATGGTGTCGGGTGGGTACTAGATTTATCAGGGTGATGACTTCGTAAATTACATAAATGTCTGATCACAAAGTTGTACACCTGAAGCTAATATAATATTGTATGTCAACTGCACTGTAATTAAAAAATAAAAAACATTTTTAAAAATGCCCATTACAAATCTATTAGTGCCTATATGTTTAGGTAAGTTACCAACCAAAGAAGTTTCCATTTGTATTTGGTTTTGGCCAATATACACCTAATCTGCACAAAGGAGTTGGTAATAAATTGTATTGTTTTCACTACGGAAACACTTTGAGTAAATAGCAGCTATTCAGTTACCCAAAAACCAATTAAACAAACAGTGTTGGCTAATCCAGAGAATTATTATAAAGTATTGCTTTGGAATTTAATATTTATGTCAACATATTTTCCAACAATCTCATAACATGGCTGGGTGAATGGATCCATTTAATAATTTTCAATCCAATCAAGTAGATGCCTCTAGCCCTGGCTGGTTCGGCTCAGCGGTTAGAGCATCAGCACTTGGACTGAAGGGTCTTGGATTTGATTCCCAGTCAAGGACACGTGCCTGGGTTGCAGGTTTGATCCCTGACAGGTTGTGCGGGAGGCAGCCAATTGATGTGTGTCTCTCTCATTGGTGCTTCTCTCTCTGTCTCCCTCCCTCCCTTCTACTCTATTTAAAAATCAATGAGAGCCCTGGCCGGTTTGGCTCAGTGGTTAGAGTGTCGGCCTGCAGTCCAGAGACACCCAGGTTTGGTTCCCACTAAGGACGCTTACCTCGGTTATAGTTTGTCGTGTGGGTGGCAGCCACTCAATGTGTCCCTTTCATGTCGATGTTTCTCTCTCTCTCTTTCTTCCTCTCTCTCCCTCCCACTCTGTCTGAACAAAAAAATGGAAAAATGTCCTCGGGTGAGGATTAAAAAAAAAATCAATGGGAAAGTATGCCCTGGCCGGTTTGGCTCAGCGGTTGGAGCGCCCACCTGTGGTCCAGAGAGACCCGGGTTCAGTTCCCGCTAAGGGCGTGTACCTCGGTTGCAGTTTGTCCCCAGCCCTGGTTGGGTCGTGGGGGTGGCAACCACTCGATGTGTACCTTTCACGTTGATGTCTCTCTCTCTCTCTCTCTCTCCTTCCCACTCTATCTGAACAAAAAATGGAAAAATGTCCTCAGGTGAGGATAAAAAAAAAAAAATCAATGGAAAAGTAGGATGAGGATTAACAAAAAAAAAAAGTAGATGTCTTTACTAAATGTACATTTTCCCATTAATGTTTTTATATATACACCCTGTTAATGATGTGCAATTGGGAACTAAACTTGGTATAAATTTATTCCTAAGGAATGTAGTGCTCGTGAGCTGGTGGAGAGGTCATAAGGCTGAGAAGGAAGCAAGGACTTGAAGTCTGGTGGGAAATGGTGGGTAAGAGGAAAGGGGCCATGAAAGTTTCTTTAGCATGAGGGTTCTCAAACTTGGCTGCACCTCAGGTTCAATAGGGAACATTTTAAAATTCTAATGCTCAGTTCATGTTATAGGTCAATTAAATTAAGGTATTTGAAGGTTGGGACCCCGGCATCAATATATTTTAAAGATTCCCAAAGTAATTGCAATGTACTGCCAAGCGTAATAATCTACCCTTCTAGTGGCTTCAGGTGAGTGCGCCTGCATTGTGTGTTCCTCATACGACTCGTGTAATGATGCCCTGCAGGAACCAATGACAGCTACAGGAAATAAGAACCCCGCTCACGTCGCTCCCAATGGCTTGTGGAGAGTTTCATTTTACAAAGTCGTAGAGCACTGCTTCCAGGAAGGACGACCGAAGAAAACTTAGATGTAAGGCCCCGGCCGGTTTGGCTCAGCAGTTAGAGCATTGGCCTGCGGTCCAGAGAGACCCGGGTTCGGTTCCCGCTAAGGGCACGTACCTCGGTTGCAGTTTGTCCTCGGCCCTGGTTGGGTCATGCGGGTGGCAGCCACTCAATGTGTCCCTTTCACGTCGATGTTTCTCTCTCTCTCTCTTCCTCTCTCTCCCTCCTACTGTATCTGAACAAAAAATGGAAAAATGTCCTCGGGTGAGGAT